TTTTTGAGACAACATAATATAGTTTCTTCGATATTTTCGAGGATATTTTATAAAATAACATAATTTTATTGATCAAATTACTGCCCAGGAGCGTGACGACATCTTTCGGGGAATCTAACGACTTCTGAAGCGTTTTCTCTATAACCGATGCGAGATTCTATTTGCGCGTCATCTCTTGGACGTTGGTGGAAAATCCCGTACTAGATAATCGAAAGTACTGGACACAAAAAGAATGCTGCAGTTAGTTCCGGAATGGAAATTCCGAGAACATCCGTTAGGGTATTTAAAGCGATTCCCGCGTTGGACTAGTGTTTTGAAATAAGCGAATTATCGAATAATTGGCGAAGATGCTAGAAAACCGCACCAAGAGTTATTAATGTGTTGTATCTAATTAGTTATTGTGTTTATAGTTGTAAAATAAGTTAGTTAAGTGTTTTATCGTGTGTTTTGAATTAAAGATCCACGAAACCATAACATTATCATACTATCGGTAGAAGATGTTTTGATTATAGTAGCAAGAAGTCGATTGACAAAATATTTTAATATATCTATCTAATATGTGTAGAAATCCTATGAAAATTATATGATTATACATATGGAATGTACCTCGAAAAAGACATTTTTGTGTTTAGTTCAAAATTTTTAGTTCAACCACTTCTTTTTGCTTTGAATAGCAATAATAAGTAGTCAGTAATATTTTATTTGAATATAGAACATAAAAGAAGAAATTCTATTAAAAAAATGTTCTGGAATCAATATGGATGTAATTATTTAATTATTCTGTCTGCGTATATATTTTTTTGATAATTATCAGCTAAGTAAACATTAATTATATAACTTGAAGACAGAAATTAACCTTCATTAGTAATTTATTTGTCACATTGTGTTGATTGATCTGTTTATCAATACTAACATCAACGTTTTACAATGTATGTATGTTTTGAAATAAATTTTGAATTGTATTAATTACTGCCAGTTGATATGAAATTTAGAATAATAATATACTTGATGGAGTATAGTAGTGGCTGAAATTTTTTATTTGTTACATCTACAGTGTATAAATATGGATGGATTTTTTCATAATCTTGTGGACGTTAAATAAATAATACTCATTTTTTAGGCTTCATTTGACTAGCCAACGTTTTGACTTTATTTTATTTGGTTTGCACTGTCCTGTTCATCTCATACATACTTATTGCTTTTTTTTCCTTTTAAAAACTTTGAACGACATTACTGTTGTCTCTTAAAAGACCTTCATAGAGGTTGTATATGTATATTGTATCATTGAGTGTACAAATATTTTGTTTCGCTTCTAATCTCTACTCAAATTGCAAAAATGTATATTTTCCCAAAATGCTGTTAGTGCCGCAATATATGATTAGAAGTCAGGATGATTGCTTTAGAAATTGTAGACGTTAGTGCTCTGTACAAAATTGCATCAAAGGTTTTATTATCATTTGATTTCAATAATAGAGTCGCGAGGAATGGTATGCATCTTTTTCCTTGTTTTATTCTAGGTTGTAAGTTTAGATTTATTGTTAGCTTAGTAATTTAATGAAAGGAACATAAATCATTTTCTTTTTTAAAATGTTATTTTTGGAAATTTCGAAATATTAACGGTCATTTGCGAGGGTATTTGTTTTTTTTTTTGAACTTTGCACATTAATTTTTTGTGTGACGTCAAGTACAAAAATGAATGCATTTATAAAAAAAGTATTTTGGCAAAGATTGTTTTTGATGATATGCTAATTTTGGTATTTTGATGATGGAAAAATCACTGGGAAATGTGTTACACACACCTACTGTTGTTTTTTATAAAGATGTATCTACTTTTGCTTTAAATAATACATGATTATTTTTTTCTTGTTATAAGATGTTGAATAGCAATTAGGCAGGCAAATTAAAATTTGGATTGAATAATTTCCGAAAAACTGTGGAACAGCATTTATCTGATTATTGATACTTTTATAGTGATGTTTAATCTTGATGTAAGCAGTAAGCTGTACTCTAATGTGCTTTTTAATGTTTTTTTAATGACAAATTAGGTTACGATTGGATCATAATAGTAGAACTAAGTTGATAGATCTCGTTAGTATCATTATAATCCAATCAGAACAACATAAACAGGAACTTAAGCGTTAAACTGTATATCATCAAGCTGTCTATTTATCTATGATAGAAATATCAATATACAGGGTGAGTTTCCTACGATGTTCTCTATGGGTATCTCGGAAACTACTGGAAATAGTGAGTCGGTTAAATGGGGAAAGAATTGCAGTTTTGCGGGGTCATAAATATGCACTTTCAGATTTTTGAAAAAGTTCACGGCTTACTAGATGTTTCGAAAAAAACAAATTTCGGCTATTTTAAAAATTGTCCGTAATTCCATTATACGCTATTTTAGACAAAAAGTTTTCAGACAAAAGTTGTAGCTAATCGCATCCTTAATGAGACTGTGTTCTCCGTTTTTTTCTAAAGCCTGTCATTTTTGACATATGACACAAACATAGTTTTTTTTTTAAATGGAAACGATAGTTGGCCATGACTTCATAAAACGCGCCATTTTTTAAGCTTTTTAGTGATGTAAGCTATAATATGTTTTCTTCGAAAAATTACTGAGTTATAGCCAATTCTTATCATTTTTAAACAATTTCACTTAGTTAGCCATGGAAACAACCTCAATCGCCGTTGCTGTCAGAAATGTGAAGCTATCACATCCAAACTTTGTAAATTAAAATAAACAAAAATTGTAAATATGAATTTTTCAAATGAAGAAAAGCGTCTAGATACTCGCGCGTCAATAAAGTGGTTCCAACATGATCTTTCATTATGACACACCACCCCCAAACCAAGTCAAACCCCCCATAATGAAAGAAATGTTAAAAATTATTTATATTATAATTATACAAACGCAGGGATAGGAAGAGGTGGACTAATTGCATGGGCCTCCCCGATCACCTGACCTATCCATTTTAGATTTTTTTATGCGGTATAGTTAACAATAAGGTTTACTAAAGAACTTATGAATTAAGAGAGGCACTCGAAGTGGCGGTACGAGAAAAGTTTAATTAAGTCGACCGGTCCTTCTGTGAGAATAGGTAGTAATTCAGTTTTAAAAAGATGCAACTCAAAACAATGACGGATTTTTTGAACATTTTCTAAAATAACTTAAAGTGTATGTAGTGATATTATTTTTTTAGGTATTAGTTTGTGTAATGGAAATTGTAAAGAACCGTTTAGTAATATATTCTGACTTTTTTTATAAGTTATAAATCATAACAGAATAAGAATACCATACAATCAAAAAATTTTATTATATAATTATTAGAAATTATTCAAGAAAGATAAAAATTGGCTATAACTAAATTTAACTTTTCTAACATATCTTAAAAACCGTTTTCTAAAAAACGTAACACTCACCGGTCAACGTATCCTCGAAAATGTATGGTCAAGAAAAGTTGAACCAATAACCTACACGCTTTTCTTCATTTGAAAAATTCATATTTACAATTTTTGTTTATTTTACTTTACAATGTTTTGATGTGACAGCTTCATATTTATTAGAGCAAAGACGATTAAACTTGTTTCCATGGCTAACTAAGTGAAATTGTTTAAAAATGATAAGAATTGGCTATAACTCAGTAATTTTTCGAAGAAAACATATTATAGCTTACTTCGCTAAAAAGCTTAAAAAATAGCGCTTTTTATGAAGTCATGGCCAACTATGGTTTCCATTTAAAAAAACCTATGTTTGAGTCATATGTCAAAAATGACAACCTTTAGAAAAAAACGGATAACACGGTCTCATTAAGGATGTGATTATCTACAACTTTTATCTGAAAACTTTTTGTCTAAAATAGCTTATAATGGAATTAGGGACAATTTTTAAAATAGCCGAAATTTGTTTTTTTCGAAATATCTAGTAAGCCATGAACTTTTTCAAAAATCTGAAAGGCACATATTTACGACCCCACAAAACTGCAATTCTTTCCCCATTTAACCGACTCTCTATCTCCAGTAGTTTCCGAGATACCCATAGAGAGAGAGAGAACATCGTAGGAAACTCACCCTGTATAAGACCCAATTATAACGTACCGATACTGTAGCTTGATATTCACAATTCACATGTTCATACTGTTACGGATTCCGTGGGTCCACTAATTTAAACTCACGATAAAATACTTAACGAATTTATTTTCTCACTAGATGCACAATTTATACAGATTACAACACACAACTATGCAACTAACAATACAACTAACTATTTAAAAATGCTTCGCTAATTTGCCACCCATAGATAAATGAAACAAATTTAGATTGGAAAGTGCCCATAAGGACAATGTAAATACTATTTGGCGCTATTCTTGCAGTGGTCGCGAGCCAAAGCTTTTGATAATTTCGGAGCGGTTCGACTTTTTCCGGAATTATGTCGCCAAATATTATTTATTCGAATTTATTACTTTTTTTTTTAATTTTTTAAATAAAATACAGTGTGTTGCATATAAGAAACTTCATTTTATATACGGACATGTATGAAATACCTATGAAACATTGGAAACCGACGTTATGCCACGATCCTCGATGGTTTTTGCTGTTCACAGTTCACACAGCTTTTTAAGTTTTTAATGCCATTTTTTCACAATTCTCATGGGTTTGAGTAAATAAAATGTAAATTAAACTCACAAGATAGCAATAATTACTTTAAAAATGGACGCTTTAAACACTTTTTGGTATTTTTTTAATGAGGGCGGTTTAAATTTTGAAAGACTTCTGTCTTAGCGGCTGCTTCCAGAACTTTCTGTAATTTTCTATATTATTCTGCCTTCTACCAGTAAGTTCTGCTGTCTGGCTCGAAATTACAGAACTCGCTTTTCTTCTACTTCGCTCGTTCTCCGATAGATGTCGCCATACACCTTGGCAATACGATTTTTATGAGAAAAAATTATATAGGATATTAATTATATATATTGCCATTACTTACATTTATATTTGTTTTTCAGCTAATGAAAATTGCGAAGGGCATCCTGGGAGAAAGACTGTTCATCCAATTGATGAAGGCCACATTCTATGGCCATTTTGTAGCCGGGGAGGACGAGTACAAGATCCGACCCAAATTGGAGAGACTTAGATCTTTTGGCGTTAAGCCAATTCTAGATTACTCAGTGGAAGAAGACATCTCACAAGAGGAAGCAGAAAAACTAGAAGTGGAGTAAGTTTGCCGAAGTTTTGCTTTTCGATCGAAGCGGTTTTCGCATCGGTTTTGCGGTTATTTTGCATCTGCATATTTTTTCCAGACGAATTTAATTCTGTTTTCTTCATTGGCGGCTAATGAGTTCCGAAGGGGGTCGGGCACAGCCTCCACAGGATCCTCTCTTATTTTAGTACACAAGGTGTGTCCTTCTACTTTTGATGCTATACCGGATGCGTCTCAAAAGTGACTCACACCTATAACTTTTTAATTTTTTTTAGATAAAAAATCGAGATTTGGTATGTTAGTATACAGGGTGCTACAAATTCGAGGTACGAACATTGGTAACTCGGTAACCGTAATAGATACAAACATAGTTAAATTGGGTCAAAGTTGCGCGTTGGGATGTTCACCAAGATGCCATCAAAAAAGTTTGGTAAACGTTTTTGGAAAAAAACGGATATTTTTGAAAATCAATTTTATTTTTTCCTGTCGATACTTTTTAGAAAATCAAAAAACTAATTGCACATTCTCATAGCCACTTTATTAGAGCTATCTGATAGTATTTTTAGATTTTCAAATCAGCTGATAATTTGTGAGAGAGGCCAACTTAATTTTTTTAAATACGGACCTGCATTTTTTATTTCAGATTTTGAAAGAACTCGCTCTCCTGAGTACAATGATATGCTACACTTAATTTTTTTTTTGTTTTGGAAATTTGGACACAATTTATTTAAACAAATTTCATACTTTTTTTTGTTTTGGGTACCATAACAGCAACAAAACTATTTAATTATTATTTAAAAAAAATCAACTCCGGCTCTGTTTTTTTTAATATTTAATATATTCATCGTTACAATATTGATAAGCTTTCAAACTTAGCACTGACGTGGGTTGAATACGGAAAATCAAATGCAATAAAATAATAAAAAATAAAATGTAATATAAACAATCAAATCTTTCCCCGGATTAGAAATGGTGGAGCAGTATAATGGCCAGCGAGGTACCTGGTATTTGAAAGTATAAGAAGATCTATTCAAAAACTATAAATAAAATTGAACGAAAAATAAATTTGTGCAATAGGGAGGGTGGTAACCCTTTCGAACATGTAGACTATGTGAAGCACTAGAAACTAGTTTGTAGAAGTTAATTTATTCATAATAACTACGATTAATATTATGCAAATTATTAGATTGTACACTGGGAATTCAAATTCACAATAAGAAAAGTTAAAAATAATATCTTTAAATTGCTGATCTGGATATTATTTATTTGAATCTTTCAATTGGCTCAATTTTCCTTATTCAATGTTAATTAGCACTCATCAATATTGTTGCGATGAATATAATCAGATTAAATAATTTAAAAAACAGAGTCGGACTTAATAATCGCTCTGAATAATAATTAAATAGTTTTGTTGCTGTTAAGGTACCCAAAACAAAAAAAAAGTATAAAGTGTGGCATATAATTGTACTCAGGAGACTTTCAAAATCTGAAATAAAAATGCAGGTCCGTATTTAAAAAAATTAATGTGGGCCTCTGTATCTCACAAATTATCAGCTAATTTGATAATCTAAAAATACTATTAGATAGCCCTAATAAAGTGGCTATGAGAGGGTGCAATTAGTTTTTTGATTTTCTAAAAAGTAACGACAGGAAAAAATAAAATTAGTTTTCAAAAAAATCCGTTTTTTTCTAAAAAACATCCGTTTTTTTCTAAAAAAACTCAGCAATCCTTGAAATTTTTAAAACTTTTTTGATGGCATCTTGGTGAACAGCCCAAGGCGCAAGTTTGCCCCATTGTTGCGTCTTCGTATCTATTATGGTTTCCGAGATACCAATGCTTGTACCACGAATATGTAGCACCCTGTTTAACATAAATTAGGATTAATTGACGTATTCAATTGTTTTCGGTCACTTCCTGTTTCACCGGAAATGACTACAACTTTTGATTTTTAAATGACACCTCTGATATTTTTTTATTCTTCTTATTCTAGTGCAGATCCATTAATGGATGTTTGCGATAACATTTTCCATTGCTTCTCTGTTCCGGGCGGTGTGTATTAACGACTGAACATCGAATAGCCCTGTCCACTGTCCTATTATTATTATATAATATTCCTCAGCCAAGACATTTTCTTCCTTCCGATACCCCTCCGGCCTTCTATCTTGCCTTCTATCAACAAATGTAAGAATTGATATTTGGGGTTTCGCATTATGTGCCCCAGGTATGCGATCTTTTTCTTTTTAATCAATTCAAATAATTCACGCTCTTTGTCAACGCGTCTGAGAACTTCCTCATTTGTCAATCTAGCCGTCCAAGGTATCTTCAGGATTCTGCGATATAGCCACATCTCAAAAGCCTCCAATTTGTTGATGATAGCTGCTTTCAATATCCAACCTTCCATACCATAAAGGAGCACCGACCACACATAACACTTTACGAATCTTAATCTAAGGCTAAGGTCAAAATCAGAACAGACAAGTACTTTTCGAAACCTCAAGAATGCCTACCGAGCTTGTTCGATGCGACATTTAATTTCCTTGTCTGATGTCCAATCTTCGGAGAGCCAGATGCCCAATTACTTAAATTTATCTACTCTTTCTATGGGCCTTGAGTTAAATGTTAGTATGGAGTTTGTAAACACATCTGGGTTTCTGGATATAATCATAAATTTGGTTTTCTTGATGTTGATGCTTAAACCCATTGCTTTGCTCTGTTCTCCTACCTTGTTGACCAGTTGTTGTAGGTCGTGTATATTGTCTGCAATTAAGACCGTATCGTCGGCATAGCGAATATTATTAATCCACACTCCATTAACTTTGACCCCCATTTCCACGTCCTCCAGAGCCTCTTGGAAAATAGCTTCTGAGTATAAATTAAATAGGACTGGAGACAGCACGCAACCCTGTCGCACCCCCCTTCTAACTTGTATGGGATTGGACATGGTATTGGACAATTTTATTTGTGCTGGTTCCAGTATAACTTCTCAATGCATTGGGTGTCTTTATGATCTATATTAAGTCTTTTCAGGAGCTGCATTAATTTGTGGTGCTGTACGCGATCGAATGCCTTTTCGTAGTCTATGAAACACAGGCACACATCCTTTCTCTGATCGTAGCAGTTCTGGACAAGCACCTGTGTTGCAACTATTGCTTCCCTGGTGCCTAACCCTTGTCTAAACCCCATTTGCGAATCGCTTATGTCCCTTTCACATTTTTTGTAAATTCTCTGGTGTATTATTTTCAGAAATATTTTTAGGGTATGGTTCATCAGGCTGATAAGTCTGTGATCTTCACACTTTCTGGCATTGGTCTTCTTAGGCAGGGTATAAAAGTAGAATGCAACCACTGTTTGGGGTAGTGACCTGTCTCATATATAATACTGAATACTTTATGTAATGCTGTAATGCCTCTTTCATCAACACACTAACAGCTTAAGTATTTCTGCAGGAATTTCATCTGGCCCAGCCGCTTTGTTATTTTTCAAATTAAGTATGGCTTTTTCAATCTCATCTTTAGTGATCGATGGGCCGGTTAGTGAGTTATTGATATCAGCTGAGGGTCTTTCATCATCAAAAAGTTCTTCTATATACTTTTCCCAAACATTGTTCTTTTCTATGCTTTCGAGGACAATCTGGTTGTTATTATTGACTGTCACAGTTGATCTCATTTTTTTATATATGCCAGCAGTCTCCTTCAGCTTTTTATACAGATTAAAAGTGTCATGTTGGTTTTGCAGCTGTTCTAATTCTGAACATTCACGTTTAAGCCATTCGTTCTTTGCTATTCTAATCTTTGTTCTTATGAGTCTTTAAATATCCTTGTACATGCCATCTGTTTTGTTCTTGTACTTTCGACGTTCATCCATTAACAACAATATCTCATCCGTCATCCATCTTTGCTTTTTGTTTTTTCCTTCATATCCTAACCTGTTTTGCATTGAATTTGATACAATGTCCATTATCTTTGTCCAAGATTGTGTTGGTTCTTCTCCCATATTCGGTATTATTGCTTGAATTTGTGTGTTGATTTCGTCACTCATCTCCGATTTTACTATTGGATCCCTCATTCTTTCTAACGCCATCCGTCGCTGTGTGGTTGGCTTTCTTTGACTCGATAAAGCAATTTTCATTACGGCCACTAATAGCACATGGTCAGAGGGAACATCGGCGCCAGGGTAGGTGCTGGCTCTTTTGATGGTTGAGCTGAACCTTTGGTTAATGAGGATGAAATCTATTTGGTTTCGTATTACATTGTCCGGTCGGTCCGCTGGAGACTTCCAGGTATAGAGACGGCGAGAGTGAAGTTGAATCGCCGTATTTGCTATTTTCATGCCTTTTTGGCAGAACTGCAGAAGTCGATCGCCCCTTTCGTTCCTTTCTCCAAGACCATAGGAACCAATAATTTCCTCAAATTTACCCTTTCCTACTTTGGCATTGAAGTCACCCATAATTATGTTGACGTCGTGTTTTTTAGTCAATTTGAGCAGTTCTTTGACTTCATCATAGAATCTTTCCACATCATGGTCCGGCGAATCTGCAGTTGCAGCGTATACCTGTATTATATTAAGATCACTTTGCTTAGCTCTGAGTTTTAATAAAGCAGTGCGATCCGAGTATGGAACAAAGTCCACTACAGATTTCAGTATTTCTTTTGTTATTATGATTCCCGCATCTTTCATGTGTTTTGGATCTTCATTACCAGAGTAAAAGAATACGCCGTTATCCACATTGCTCTCTCCCACCCCAGGCCACCAGGTTTCTGCAACGCCTAGGATATCCAGACTAAGTCTGTTCATTTCTCATGTGAGGTTTGCCAGTTTTCCAGCCTCAAATAGGCTCCTTACATTCCATGTTCCGATCTTAATTGGTTTTCTCAAATTCGCTCTTTTATTTGTCACATTTAAAGCCGTTCCCCCCGGAGATCCGATTGGGGAACTATTTATAACTCCGGAAATTTTTTAATTAAATGTACTCATGTTATTGTCTTGGGAATTAATAATAAAGGTGGTATCCCGTTGCCTTCCTTTATTATTTTTTTTATTATATTTCAAAATATTGCGACCATTTTCAAATGCTATTTAACTTTCTAAAAAATAGTTGGAATGATACAAAAGAGAACGTATTTTGATTTAAACTTTTAGTGTTTTTTTTTTGGAAATTGGTATTGTAACTTTTATTCAATTAAAAAATGAACAATTTTTAAAAATACTAGTAGAAGCTTAATATTGTAAGCCTGCGGATTAGTCTTAAATGATAAAGATAACATCCTCGACTATCAAATAAAATTAAGAGGTCTCAATAAAAAAGAAAACTTTTAGTGCAAATATTTGTATTATAAATTACTTTTTATTATGTATGAAAATGTTTTATCGATTTTATTATTTGCGATACGTGTTTATGGTGTCTGCACTTTTTTATGTAGTATGTTGCAGACACGATTGCATGATTATAAATAATTTATTATGTTGTAATCGTAAATTATGATTGTTATCAAAAAATAGAGATTTTTACAGTTTGAATTTAAATTTAAACACGTCTATTAAATTAAATACGTTTATTATTGCAAAAATTCAAGGCCGTGACATACAACGGCCTTGACACTACATGACCTTGACCAAGCTTTGACGCACGAACTAGCGAGAAAAAAAGTGGTAGCGATCGCTCAAACACCAAAAAACATTTGATTTAAAGCTAAGAAAATCATCATAATCGACTTGATACTGTACCTGGGTACCAATAACCTCTGGTTGTGTGCTAGAAAGTAAATTTTCATGCATATTTTCATTGATAGGTTTGTAGCTTCTGAATAACGATCTAGGTAAAGCATTTAGCTCATTTGCTAGCTCAGAATTAGAATTATTAGAGTTAAGCAACTCGCATTTTCATTGGAGGACATTGTCATATTTATTTCAAACCAATAAACAACGAGAATATTCATATAATTTAACAAAATTACTGTAAACCACTATAAATACGAATGATTGGTTAGGTTCAAAATGTTTTCTCTTCTTAAATAAATTTAAGCGTTAACATTATTAGGCATTTGTCTAAAAGTGTGTATTTTGGGTGGTATCCACAAAATTTGCAGGCTGTTGAGGAAACAGAAAATGTACAAAAATAAATTGAAAATCACTTTTTTAAACATGTCCTTCAAATCCTCCAATTTAATAGCTGTTGGTAACAAGTTTCATGCTCACATAGTGCACACATAATTTTTTGGAAGAAATAGAATGATAAAATTAAAGAAAAATTCTCAAGAAGAGGCATTACATTTGGCTGGTTCACTTGAACGTGAGCTTATTGAGTAACTGTTACTGAGTACTTCCAAAGAAGATACAGTTGAAGTTAGAGCATTTGGTGTTGCAAGAGTTATAATTCAGCACAATACACACAACCAAACTTATATGGAATCCTCTATTATTTTTCATAATTTTTGAAACCTATGGACATTTTGTGTTTATGAATAAAACTCAGTCCTTACCAAAGACTTTTAATGAAAAATAATCCATAAAGCAATGAAAAAAAATAATCAGTTTCCAAAATAAACACAATGATATTTTTTTGGTTTCTGAAATGAAATGAGATTTAAATTTTTATTGGTCAAAAAACAAAAACAAAAAGAAAATTAATAATTTTGATAATCCGTGTTGCCACCTCTAGTCTCTATGCAACCTTCTATCCGCGCTGGAATGCTTCTTATTAAATTATCAACGTTGTCTTGGGGTATTGTTTTCCCATTCTGCTAATATTGCATTAATAAGCTGTGCGTGAATTTCTGGATTGTTTCGAAGAGATCTAACCCTTCTTTTGAGCTGGTTGTTCGCACAAGTGTTCGATAGGGTTTAGATCTGGTGAACATGCAGGCCAGTCCAAAACTCTGATACCTTCCGTTTTCAAGATATTTTCTAACCACTCTGCTGGTATGGGAGGTGCATTATCTTGCATGAAGTTAAAATTATTCCCAATTACAGTTTGGTTTTTGTCCAAAGCCTAACGATAGGTTCTAGTACTAAATCAACGTACTTCCGGCCCGTTAAAGTTTGTTGAAGTGGTAACAATGGAGTATTTGCGCCCTGCATAATACCTCCCCGGAACATTACAGTTCCTCCTTTACATCTTGGTACAGATTTGGCAGCCTGAAGTCTCGCTCGTATTCCTCGAGCACTGAGAACCCGAATTCGATAGTCATCTGATTTTAGGCCAGTTCTGGTCTCATCCGAAAAAAGAACATTTTGCCATTTCTCAATTGTCCAGTTTTGATGTTGAAGGCACCAATTTAGTCGGTCAATTTTATTTTGCCAAGATAACTGTGGGACACGTAACTCTCTCCTACTGTACAAGCCTTTTTCTTATGGTTTCAACTAAAATGTTCACACCTGTAGCCGCCCGAAGTTGTCTTTGTAGCCCTGGATGAGAAACTTTGGGAGTTCTTCCAGCAATTTAGCACACAAAGCGGTAATGCTGTTCAGTTGTGACTTTTTGATGACTTTGTTTGGACCTGTTCTTAAGAATTCCTAGGTCCAAGTACCTTGCATATGTTTTCGATCTAACGCCCTCGGTAACGCCTACTATCTCTGCTACGTCTTCTTGGGGCATTCCTTGTTCAATGAGAGCAATAATTCTTCCCCTCAGTACGTCTGTTAATCCAACGTAAGGCATTTTTTTATTTTTTTGGATCGAATTAAAATTACCGGACAATCGTGATTTTACTACTGAACACAAAATTTACAAGAAAATAAATCGCAGAAGTCGTTTATTCTTTATTATCATGTTTAGTTACAACAAAAAACCTTATGTTAAAGTTGTATACCAATTTTTTTCCTTGCAAAAAGTTTCAGAAATAAAGAGCGATTCCATATAAGTTTGGTTGTGTGTACACTAAAACATTTCACTTGATTGAATTAAAACGATTTTCAACAAAGTTATTTCTTCTTTGCTAATATTCTCGTATTTTTTAGGGCTTCCGTACCGGCAGCCGGCGACACGTTAGAAGACGGTTCGTTGAAGCAGTACCATGTGGAGAAAACTTTTGCCGATAGACGGTACAAAGTGCAATCTGCTAGGACCTATTTCTACCTTAACGAGGCGACGTGCGAGAGGAATATGGAGATTTTCATTAAGTGCCTCGAGGCCATTGCAGGTAAAATTTTCAACAGTCACTTTTAAGAGATTGTAGATCCGAGGAAAAGGAGTTTTTATTCTGTATTCAATGTATCATAAACTTTTATTTTGGTTTTTACGCCAATATTTCGTGGAAGCCAATATTTCTAATGTCGGATTTAGGCCGATGTTTACCATAGGTAGGAAGCGACAACCCCGCAATTCCTTGTGTCTCTGTCTTTCAACTGTATAGGCTTGGTGTATACTCCGCCGGTGCTTCTACCATCGGATAATATCGTTATAACAACGGACTAAACAAATACACGGTTTTAAACAGCGAATACGCGAAAAATGTGTTGTATAATTATTCTAAAAGGGTTAGGAAGTAAAATTTCTGAAAATTCTAAAAATAAAAATATATAATATTTTAATATCTTCCGAAGGTCTTAACTTGTACTATAATTTATTATTCAAGCTAATAAAACTTTTTAGATGAGTTCAACTGCGGTAGCGAGCATAGTTTTAGGTACCGGTTTTGCTAGTGGGGACATAACAGCCCCAGTTATTTCGGCTATAACGAAATTTTTTAAAGGTACATAATTATAATTTTAGAGTTTCATAAAAAAATTAAGCACTAGTTGATTAAAAAATATACCATTAACATTGCAAATTATATTTTATCCTCTCATAGTATATGCCTATTTAACTTTTTGATTATGTAATGGGCACTTATGTGCGTTTACTCACTTGTTTCGTCGAACTGCTTGAATCCATCTTTGCTTTAGGGCTCAAACGCACTGACGACCGGGTCGCTGCTACCTGTAATCTGTAATACCACAGTTTAAAGAATATAAAATGGTGTGGTGATACAATTAAATCAAATGATACAACGCGCACTAACGACCGTGGCCAAGCCTGGCCGTCGCTGGTCGCTGCGACCAGTAGGCTGCACTAAAATTGTTATCTTCTGCGGCTAACATTTCTGTAAACAGTATTTTCTAATTTGTAAAAAGTAAAAAATCGTTAGATCTGACAGCCCTGCTGAAACTGGTCGTTCATCTGGACGCATCTATGTACGCAATATATCCGTGGTCGCGTCAGTGCGTTTGAGCTCTTAGATCAAATCGGTGTCACAAGCTGTAAAGCTACAAAATGTTGTTTCGGGAGTGTTGAATATCCAGGAAAGTTGAGTTATTAAATGTTATTGCACCCAACAACCGCGTAATCAGGGCATCCTTTACGCATTAACCTTTTTCGGCAATTTATTTGAAACTGTCACAACACAACGCGGCGCCCAGTTCTTTTTCGCTTAATTTTTACTACCCGAAACAGCGTTGCATTACACAAACCTCGTACCTGAGTTTTTATGACATATTAATATTGTGACAAAGCCACGATTTTAATATTATTTGATTGCGATCGACATAAACGCTAACGATACTGCGTGAAATACTTTACGGAAACTTCTAATTTCTGCCATATCGAGCGCTGCTGTCGGAATTTTTAAAATCAACTGAAATACACCAAGCCTATAATATAAACCAATCTTTATCTATATTTTACACATTAAAATACAATTTACGGATTTGTAATGACAAGTTAAGATAACATTAATTCTATTTTTTATATCCATTATGTTCGTTAATATTAGCACATTTATCGTTACAGTATAAAATCTCCTTAATCTAGATGAAATAGCCCGAACAGTGATGTAACGTCCTAACAACATTTACTGCATTATTTTTAGATCGATTTGAAAGAAACTACTCTGTTCTGACTATTTATAAACCTATAAGGAATGTTATTCCGTATTATTTTCGCTTGAAACGTTTTCATATAACTTACACCTTAACTTATCAATATTAATAATTGACTGTGATTTTACTATATTTTTTAGACTGTTGTTGATGTGGCATGCTATTTGGAGTTCTTTTTATAATTTTCAATTGCTGGTGTTTAGAGGAGATGCACTAAAATCTGTTTCATTTTAAGTTTTATAGTTCATTATGTTTCTTTTTATATGATTACTGTCGAGACTGTTGGGTGCTGGAATTTCGATAGGCATTATTTGTAATTTTTGAATACTACAAAATATTCCCTTAATCATTTGTGCAGTTGTATATTTAGGGATTTATGTTTTTTAAATTCCAAGAAAATTCTGAAATTTCAGATTTTCTGTAATTTTTACTAGTGTAGTGTTAATTCAAACTATCATCCATATATGGATAGATTCTAAAAAATATTATCAAAGTTTACAGAATAAATACAGATAGTAGATATTCTGTAAACTTTGATATTATGAAGTATGATCACTTTGTAAAATTATAAAGTTTTATATTTTGAACAGGAATTCTATTAAACTCAGTAAATTTTAAATCTTACATTGTCATAATGCCAGAAGAATAATACAGCCATTTTGGATGATTTAAAAGATCATCGTAGTCGTGTTAAAGCCAATTACAGCTGAAATCTGTCTATCCATTAGCGTTAATTATTACAGCTCGTTAAATATAGGATGATATGAGAATGTTTAACAAACAAAAAAAATATTTTTGTTTTCATCTTTTTTGTATTTATACAGGGTGCTCCGAATTGTATTCGGGAAACTTCGGCAGCATACTCTACAGACAAAAATAAGTTATACTCGTAAACTCCATAATATAAATTTATGTTCTCAAATGCTTCGAGATAAAGGATGTAGAAGTTTCATTTTTATTTCGATTTTTTCCAAATAATTTCTGAACTATAGTCGATATTTGGATGACAATGGGTGTCTGAGTGTTTTTTTGGATTTGATTTCCTTGTAATAATGTAAATTTCCGCCGTTTTTCACGCTAAAGAGATCACTCTTGGTAAAAATCGCTACCAGCAACTGTTTTAGAGATATTTGGAATGGAAATTACGTGTCAAGCTTGATTTTCATACATCCGTTACGTTGATACGATGGTCCGACGGTGCTCTGATTGGTCATAGCATTTTTTTGACAAATTTAATTTAACCTTAATAAAAAATATAAGTAAAATAACAAAATCGTTATGGAAACGAAAATATAAAATTAAGCTTAAGCTTGATTTTCATGCATCCGTTGTCCGACGATACGTGGATACCATATTAATTTTATTGGTAGAATTTAAAGACTGATTGGTTAGAAAATAACGCAGTTTTTAAATTTATTGCATTTTCATGCATCCGTTTATCGGATATACGTTGGTGTTATTTTATATTTTCGTTTCCATAACGATCTTGCTATTTTACTTATATTTTTATTAAGGTTAGATTAAATTTGTCAAAAAAGTGTCAAAACGTCCGTTATCGTATGAACGGGTCCGTTGATGGGCTGAAGTAAAATATTTACGGACGAAAAGTGGCGCGAAAACGCTATGACCAATCAGAGCACCGTCGGACCATCGTATCAACGTATAAAGCCGGTGTCTCATGCATCCGAAATCCGATGATACGACATCCGAAATTTGAAGTTATCGTGTGAAATAAAAAATGCCTGTCACATACATCCGAAAGTTCGTTCCGAAAATTGACATTTAGACCTGTTATTCTGCTGCATTGAATATAGATTCATGTCATGTATTATTGGAGAAACACTTATAAAAATAACTTCCTCGTCAAATATCCCGAAATTACCCACTTCCCCCTAAACTTGTTTTTAAAATAAAAACAATGTTTTCAAAAAAGGTGAGGTTAAAAAACACACGATATCGTACAAAAGTTAAACAAAGTTTAACTTTATACGACGTCGGACGATTATGGATTTCGGATGCATGAGACTCCGGCTTTACGGATGCATGAAAATCAAGCTTTATTTTGACAAAAAATTAACGTGCTGGTGACTAGATAGTTGTTTGACTGAACGTATAAATTTGGGAACTTTTTTATTTTTTTAAATTAGCCCTAATTTCTTCTAATAATAAAAAATATTAGAAACTTTTTTTAGTCAAATAAATGGATTGGTATAGACGTCATCTGTCTTTTTTCTAAAAAATGTCTATACCTATGTGGCGAATTCATCTATCCAAAAAAATCCTTATGGGTTTTTCGCCACTGCACTGCAAGAAAAATCTACAAAATAAAATAGTTATTTTTTGTAAACACTTCTGCGTTAAACCTAAACGGACGCTGCTTGTCAGAAGTTGTGTTTACAGTAATAAAAATTTGCCTAACAAAGAAAAAAATGCTTAACGTTTCGGAAAGTTTTCTCTTTCCGTCGTCGGAAGCAAAAAAAAAATATAAAGAATCAAGAAAAAACCTATTTAAAATATTTAAATTGAACTATTCGAGAACACTTTACTTTTTAAAACAGATACGTCTACAAGAAATCGTTGACGTTCTGTTAAAATTACATTATATTAAGTTAAACTTCAAAATTAACAATTACTACCTGATAATTACTTAATAAGGTAAAACCAAAAAGCCCAAACTTTCTGTATGATTATTTTTAAATTTCACGTATGTTATGTTTATTTATGTAATGTTCTTTAAAATCAAAGACGCGATTGCCATACATTACTAACATCTACAGATGCATGAGCAATACATTTATTTTTATTAGATTGAATTAAAAAAGCCTTTTATTTTTCTTTTAGAGGCTATAGCTTCTTTCATTATAATTTTTGCGTTATTAAAATTTATTCTGTGCCCTGTGTCTTTTTTTTCCTGTGTTTTTTTTGTTTTTTTTTGTCTTTTTTCTCTCATCATCTATTGAAGTCTTACCTGAGTAATAAAACTGAGTATAGTATCATTCTATATTTGATGAGCTGTGTGTGTACTTTGGTTTTAATACTATAACGAGTAACCATACACGATATAAGGCTGGCAAGCCATTTATTTTAATTACTTTACGTCTATTAAAGAGTATTGTTTTCATGGAAAGATTTGCCGTTTGATTAACTTAATAACTTTATATAAAAATGCCGACAACTTGACTAGAAGTTTTATTATAACAAGATTTTTGTTAAACATGCTCAATATGTATATATACAGCACTGGGAACAGTATGCAAAATATATTATATTAAATAATTGTTTT